GGCGCAGGATGATGTTGAGGTACAGGGATAACCTCTCTCTTCATAGATAGTTTTCTTCTCTTAAAACTTTATCCAACTTTTTTATTTCATATATTACAATTTTAGAATCGATAAAATAGTTTCAAACTAATCAATTTATTTGTCAACATTAAGTATAATGAGAATGAGAAGTATTATATCTGAAAGGTTTCATCATCTTAAAATCCAATGAATTTAATAGACAAAAATCCATATATATAATAGAAGTATTAACATTGTCAAACAATTAAAAATTATGATGTGCGTTATTAGTTTTGAAATAATTATTAATTATAAAAGTTAAGAATAAATTGAGATCGTCAACCTTCTTATATAAATGATTTTTTACTGTTTAAAAGTTTAGCCAACAAGTTTTTGAAGAATTGTTGGGTTTATAAGTGATACCCTACTTACTGCAGACCTTGAAATCAGGAATGGAACTACAAATAAATGGTTAAGGGGCACATAAATATGTAAACATACATAAATATTCATACATATATATATAAACTATTTTCTTCTTCTTTTTTTCAAGTATTCAATGAAAATTTTTCTTCTTGAAATCTTAAATTCTTTATCATAAAATTATAAAATAAAAAAATTTATTAAGCTTTGTTTTATATATATGTTTTTAATTAAAATGATGGCATTCTNTTGCGGTCAATACTTTGACACTTGTTCTAAGCAATTTAAATTTCAATAATTATATTTTTATTTTATTATAAATGCATTTTGTACCGACAGGTCCTCCCGGCATAGAGCGAGCGAGCGGATAACACAAGAACGTCCTCCCTGGACGAGCGCCAAGGCCGAACGTCCACCCATTTAAGCAAACAGGATCGAGCGTCCAATATAATGGGACCAAACGTCCTTCCAGGTCGAGCACCAAGGCCGAACGTTCACCCATTTAACCGAACAGGACTGACCGTCCAATATGAGCGTCCAAGCAAACATTGTCCGACTGCACAGGGACCAAGCGATCCTCCCAGGTCGACCACTAATAAACCGAACGTTCAATAGGTCGGCCACGCCCAAGGGCCTCAACATCTCGGTCTAAATTCTCAACCTCGAATAGCCTGAATAGGCATGACTGTTACTCCCCCGTCCAATTACAAACAAGCAGAACAGACATAAAAAAGGAAAGCACAGCAGGGATCTCGTTCCCTTTCGTGAGAACCGTCTACAAAAACCCCTCCGCATAATAAAATTATGCTCGGGCTTGGGGGACTTATGTACCAGTAGGACCGGACGCCGTACGGAAAGACACACACGTCGCCAAACGGACCGGCCGCCCATGTCATCCTCCTGATTGTCGAGAAGGTGTCAATGCGGACGCCCATTTATGTACCAGCAGGATCGGGCGCCGTTCGGAAAGACATCCGCAAGCGGTTAACACAACCGCCTGCTAATGTACCGACCGGTACTCTGTAGTCATGTACCGAGCGTCCACCCTGGCCGAGCACCAGGACCGAACGTCCACCCAAACAGGACCGAGCGCCCACCCGGGCTGAGCACCAGGACCGAACGTCCACCCAAACAGGACCGAGCGTCCACCCGGACCAAGCACCCGGGCCGAACGTCCAATGCGACCGGACAGCAAAACCAGATGGCCGCCCACCTAGGTTAACATCCCTGGCCGGCCATCCTTCCTAACCTACATGGTTAAAGGGTGTGATTGGACCGTCATCAGGCCCACTAAAGGCAAAAGGCTCGTTATCAGGCCCACTAAAGGTAAAAGTCCATTACAATCAGTATAAATAAAGGTTCCAGGTATGAGTTCCAGACCAACTTTCCTTACGATGCAACACATGCATCACATATTGCTCTGTCATATTACTGACTTGAGCGTCGGAGTGCCTTTGACAGGTACCCGACCACCCGTCTTGGAGTAGGAGAGCCACCACTGGGAGCGCATAGGGAGAAACCCGTCCGGCCTCCAACCTAGAGCGTGGAGTAGCGTCAGTCCGCCACTGTGTCGCCCGCCACACGCATGCCCGACCTTCTTCAGCTCGTGGGATTCAGAAACGTCCGCCCGATCTGCATCAGTTAGTGAGGAAGCGTCCGCCAACCTTCACCATTCGTTATCGTCCGCCCGACAAACTTGTGTGTTTTAACAGGGTCCTCACGGATTCAGTCGAAACACATTTATTTTTTCTTATGGAACTCGTTTACTCGCTTTGTTTAATAGTTTGATTTATAAATATGTGATGATGTGAAGGTTCTAAGGTTAACGGGTGAAGGGAGGAAGATGGCGGAGAGGTTTTCTTAGTATGAGAAAAATAAGCATCTTTTACGAAACATGATTATGTTTAAATTAATATAATTGCTTATTTAGGATTAGAATTTTAAAAACATATTATGTTTTTTTTTTCTTTCTTTATTTTATAATTTTTAATGTCATAAATTAATTAAACATCTTATTGATTTTAACAAAAAGAAGAAGAAGATGATTTATAGGTTATGCTCTACTGCTCGCTTTAAAACTTGTGTTTAGTGATTTATATTGAATTTAGAAAATAGTTTTATATCCAATTAGTATTCACAAATTATCTTAAGGTAACTGTTATGAAAGATAAACTTATTGGTGATTATATGACAATCTTCTTAGGAGCAATCTTCCCTACACCTCATCCATTTCTTTCTGTATCTCTCATTTTACACATTTGCCCTTTATTCATTAAATTATTTATTAAAATCAAATAAAAATTAATAATAAGTTAATGATTTCGTAATCACCAGTAACCCTAAATATCATTTTGTTGTTCTACATGCACTCCTTCCCTCTTTTTATTTTTTTGACTTTAAAATAAAATAACAAACAAATAAAAAATGAAAAGATATTTCAAAAACATATTCAATATTATTTAATCATAAAATATAACATAAAAATAAAATTTTAAAAATATATAAATATAAAATATTAACAAAAAAACTATATAAAATATTAACCAAAATAAATTAAATATCCTAACATAATATTTCATACACATATTTTTTAAACAAATTTAATACTATAAATAAATATCAAAAATACTAAATAATAAATAATAAAAAGAAATATAATTTATAAATTTTAAACAAATTTAATTAAATATAATAAAAGAAAATAAAGTAATACACGAAACCCTACCACAGGTCCAACTGCGGCGACCGTCAACCGCAACTCCAAGTGTGGTTCTCATCCCTCCCAATCACACTTCCATGTACGGCGGCCGCAGTTCCATGTGCGGCGTTCGCAATTTCAAGTGCGGTTAAGGCCTTAATTTCTCCCATCAAAAACGAATTAAAGAGATCAAATACGAAACAGAGAGATAAAAACGAAACAAGCACAAATTTTATCACACTCAATGCATCATACAATGACCTTAAGGAAATCTGCCCTTAAAGTTAACTTTCTGAGAAGAAGAAAATCCACACTGTTGTATTAGAAGAACTTAAAAATAAATGAAGTTGATGATGAGGGAGGAGAAGAGGAATGCGGAAGGACAAAAATGTGAGCTTAAAATGAAATGCGACAAGGAGATGCAAGGAGAGACAAGGAGGAGGAAGGGATGAAGGGGTGTAGGGTTTACAAAATAATCTGAAGGTAAGACTGAACTCAGTTAGGAAGGAGTGTAGGGCTTACAAAATAATCTGAAGGTAAGACTGAACTCAGTTAGGAAGGAGTGTAGGGCTGTTACTTCAATTTAATCATTAAATAGGTCAACTTTTTTATAATAAAATATTCTTTCTGAAAAGGATAGAATTGTAAATAAAAAAAAGAAAGGAGGCGGATGATGTTGAGGCACAGGGATAACCTCTCTCTTCATAGATAGTTTTCTTCTCTTAAAACTTTATCCAACTTTTTTATTTCATATATTACAATTTTAGAATCGATAAAATAGTTTCAAACTAATAAATTTATTTGTCAACATTAAGTATAATGAGAATGAGAAGTATTATATCTGAAAGGTTTCATCATCTTAAAATCCAATGAATTTAATAGACAAAAATCCATATATATAATAGAAGTATTAACATTGTCAAACAATTAAAAATTATGATGTGCATTATTAGTTTTGAAATAATTATTAATTATAAAAGTTAAGAATAAATTGAGATCGTCAACCTTCTTATATAAATGATTTTTTACTGTTTAAAAGTTTAGCCAACAAGTTTTTGAAGAATTGTTGGGTTTATAAGTGATACCCTACTTACTGCAGACCTTGAAATCAGGAATGGAACTACAAATAAATGGTTAAGGGGCACATAAATATGTAAACATACATAAATATTCATACATATATATATAAACTATTTTCTTCTTCTTTTTTTCAAGTATTCAATGAAAATTTTTCTTCTTGAAATCTTAAATTCTTTATCATAAAATTATAAAATAAAAAAATTTATTAAGCTTTGTTTTATATATATGTTTTTAATTAAAATGATGGCATTCTTATAATCATAAATATATGCTTTAATATTTATACCAACAAACTAAGTATTGAAATAGATTATGTTACTTTAAGTCTATAAAATTTTGAAAAAAAATCATACTCTCTAAAGTGAAAATCATATTAAAAAAAATAACTTACAATCGTATTTCAATTTTAGTTAAAGATATTTAAATTTCATTTAGAAAAAATCAAATGTATGAATTGTTATTCTATTACGACTAGGTTTGTGCAGTTACATTTATAGGAACAAGTCAACAAGAATCCCAAATACTGAGGATCTTGATTTTTGACTTCCCACCGAAACATATGACTATGGTAGTAATAAGGCACCGGTAGAAACAAAACAAACACAAAAATCACTAATTAATAAATTAATTAATCTTAATTTTCTAATCAGCCCACATGGACTACACCTAATCTACCAATATTATATCTCCCACGCTAATTCGGCTTACCAAACACCAAATCCTTTTTACAAAGTTTATTAATTAATTTAATATATATAATAAGACAATAAACAACCAAATCACTCGTATATGACTCTCATCTGCAAAATTATTCATTAAAAAAATCACTCATATTTCCAAACCTTGACAATTTTATGCAAGCTGTATTATGTTGAGAAAATGAATGAACAAAAAAAAAAGTATCAAAAAAGAAAAAAAAAAACAAATACATACATATGTACGTACATGGTAGTACCTCAATAATGAATCTATCACTGTCTCTCTAAGTCCTGTTCAACATCATCATGCGCAGAAGGTTGGAGTCTCCTCAACGATCTCTCTCTGCTGAGAATTCTTCGAAATGAACTCAACCTAGAATTGGAGCCGTTGATTTTAGGCGACCCATTACCACCGTCGGACGTTCCTTCCACGTTTTCGAACAATACCGGGGCGGTGGGAAGAGCCAACCGGGTGGGATCCTCGCGCTGGACCGGTTCAAGTCGGAGCGGTTCCGCTTTGGATCGACAAATGGGACACGTGGAGTGTGAGGCGAGCCACTTGTCGATGCAGCCGACGTGGAAGCTATGCTTGCAATTAGGAAGGAGTCTGACATGTTCTCCGTCTTCGAGAACGCTCAAGCAGACGGCGCACTCAACGGCGTCGTTCTGTTGTTTGAAGGGGAAGGTGGGGAGAGCGGTGATGACTGCAGGGTCGAGGCCGGCGATTGGCGGTTGGGCTTGCGCGTGAGCCACGTTGAGACTGAGTTGGTATATGGTGCTTCGGCGGCGAGTTTGACGGCGCAGAAAAAACCTTGCGTAGATGTGAAGAGCAAACACTAAAACTAGCACGACTGATAGGGAAACTATGGCGGTGATTAGTATCCTCCGGTTGAAGTCATTGTGGTTCTGGAAAAACGGACTGCGGTCGTGATCGTTGTCGAAGTAACTCATGGCTGTGTGAGAAAGAAAGAGAAGGTGTTGGTGATGAACATTGAAGAGAAGAATGTGTTTTGGGTTGGGTATTTATATATGAGAACTTTGTAAGAACAATGAGTTGGTGGTGTTGTGTTGCAGTTGGAAAAAAATGGTGTTTTCCTATTGGATATTTTACTTTCTTCTTCTCTTGTGTGGCTACAAAAGTCCAAGGTTGTAACTAACAAGAAACTCACATTTCGTCAAGGCTTTTGACTGTTGAACGTTGACATTGCTGCTCCCTTTAGGGTAAAAAGTAAAACGAAGGGAATGGGAGTGTAGAGAACGTTAGGTAAATGTAACTGTAACTGTAAGAACAAAACCACTGTTAATTAAACTTATTTATTGATTTTTAAATATTAAATATATACTGTTTAATTAGAAAAGGATGAGGGAAAATGGAGGGAGGGATTCTTGTGAAAGTTGACTGCCGCAAATTTAGAAAAAGAAAAAAGGAAAAAAGATAAAGCTAACGTAAAATCTTGTACGTATTATTTTGAAGTATGAACGCAAAACATATTTCACACTTAGTTAATAATACACGTGAATACATAAAAAACCTTTCTTAATATTTCAACGTCAAAATCCAAATTTTTGGTTTGAAGAGGTTTTAATCTTTAGAAAATTTCCAATTTCAAAAAATTTTAAAACGATTAAATTTGAGAATTTTAAATTATTTAATTCTTATAAAATGTAAACTACGTAGTAATTTTTATAATTATATATATCCCAAACCTACCCAAATAAGATTTGGGTGTTACTCCCTCCACCACCACAACTTGCTTCCTCCACCACCCCATTCCCCTTTTACCCGTTTCTTTAATTTTTTATTCTTATTTTACCCATATAAATTTCAGGTTAATATTATTTAAAACTCACGTGGACATTCATTCTCTTTATCATTCTTCCATCTTTCTCTTTATTATTGTTTTTTCCCAGGTTGTCTCTTACTTTTCACTACCCTTGGGTTGTCTCTCATGTTTCACTTCTTCTCTCTTTTATAGAATTGTGACGTGAGAGTGTGGTGGACTTTGTGTTTAGTAAGATTGAAAGTGGGAAAAGCAATTCATCTTCAGCCGTGAGTGTTGTGGGCTTCAAGGTGCGGTGGCGTGAAAGGTTCAGAGGCGTGAAGGTGCGTAATAAAACCCTAAAATATAAACTGTATAATCTTTAAACGGATGTGAGCATCCGTCAACGGATGTCAACATCCATTTAAGGGAAAACGGATGTCGACATTCGTTTTCCCTTAAAGGGATGTTGACATCCGTTTTCCCTTAAACGGATGTTACATCCGTTTAAAGATTATACGATTTATATTTTACAGTTTTTTTTATATTAATTTTGAAGATATTTAAATAATATAATTTATTTTTTTAGATATATTTTTTAGATATGATTTTGATGTATTTTAATAATTATCTTTTGAGGATCTTTGATTGTTATTAGTATAACACCACGAATCGCGCTGGGAGGAAGAAAACATATTGGAGGAAAAATGGAAGATGAGAAACGGATGTGATGGAGTTTGGGTGAGAATCTGAGAGGTTGAGGTGGTGAGAAGGGGTAGAAAGATAGATTTTAGGTTAAATAAATAATTAGGATTAAAAAGTAAAAAGGTTATTTTTGTAATTATAAAATGTTAGTTTTGTAATTCAAAAAATATGTAATAGGATTGGGGAGGTGGAGGGAGAAAATGTGGTGGTGGAGGGAGTAACACCCATAAGATTTTAAGTTATTTTCTTCTTTAATTACTTTAGGTGGTGGACCAAAAGATTATGTGTGTGGGAATACGGCTACGTACACATTATTCCACGTGTTAGAACATTTGTGATTTTCTTAGAAATTAGTACTCCAATTTACGAATATTTGAATCTTAAAGTCAAAGCCAGGACACATAACATAAACTACCTTTGCACTGAGTCATCTTTTATGACTATTTAAAGTCTTTGAAACTGACAGAAAAACAAAAGTTTGTTTTTATAAAATAATTTTAGTTCTGCAAATTTAACTTTAATTTTCTTTCTTATTACCTTTTGATTTATAACGTATTATATTTTTTCACCTTGATTAAAAAAATTCAAGTTTAGTCTTTAAAACAAGGTTCAACATTATTACAAAAGTAACTTTAAGAATAAACAAGAAGTTAAATATTTTAAAATTTAAAGACAGTAATCATTGTGAAAATTGAAAAAAAAATCAAATTTATAGGACCAGAAAGATGTTATTTAAATTTTCTTTGTACAAGTTAATGCAATTTATTGGGCCATTTATTATTTGTAGATAAATGCTAAGTTGCTCAATGCAATGTGTTTCATCTTAATTAAAAATATAATTAAACAAATTAGACTTTTAAAATACATATTTTAAGAAAATTATGCACCAGACTTTTAATATAATAAAAATTGTGTTTTAGAATTAATAGTGTGTTTAAAATAGTGATATTTAACTATTTTATTCTTAAAAGTTTAAAGTATAAATAGATTTTTTATAAATGAATTTTTATTTTTTCTAAAAAAAAAATTTAGAACTCTTTTCCTTCTCTATATTTCCTTATCTACGTTTATCTGTTTTAAAGATTAAAGACAGCTAAGGTGATATTTGAGACGAACTTTCCACTTATGTCTGATCAGCTTCCACCAATAGAGTAAATAGTTTTCTGCCCATTTTATTGTTTGTATGTTTCTTTTGTGCATGTGGACCATTTTGGTTCGCATGTAGGGTTTGAGTTCTATGTTGATCAGTGGTCCTAATTGTGTCATGATCATGTTTATGTTGTTCAAAGGAGTATAGAGCTTCATGTGTGTCTGGAGGTGGTTTTAGGAATTCTAGAGTGTTTGGTCTGTCTTTCAAGCAAGAGAAACTAATTGCATGATGTTTAAATGGATAATTTATAATTGTTAATTGTATGCTTGTATAATATTTGGTTTATGTGATTATTTATCTAATGAAATATGACAAATGGAGTTGAGTTTAGAATTTCATTTGGTTTACATGAATTGTATTTTGGTATTTGGTATGTTATCATGTTGATAGTGCAATTGGGATGAATTAAACAATTGAGTAGTGTATAATTTGATGGTTGATATGTTTTGACATATGTGATTGTTGTTGAACTGATTTTGCAGACTAGAATGATAAATATCAGCATAATTATGTTTTGCAAAATTATGTAAACTCACTAGGCGATAATTTTATAATTTGTATGATTTTATAACTTTATAGCATTATAATTTTAAAATTTTAAAATTTTCTAATTGGATAATTTTATAATTTTATATTTTTTTAATTTTAAAATTTTATAATCCTATAATTTTATAATTCTATAATTTTTTAATTTCATAATTTTTTAATTTTTTAATTTAATAATTCTATAATTTTTTTATTTCATAATTTGTTTAGTTTCATAATTTTTTAATTTGTAATTTTATAATTTCATAATTTTATAATTTTACATTTCTATTAATTATGTAGTTACATATTTTACATTTTTATTGTAAAGATCAAGAAAATGATATATTAGAATTGATAGTAATTTGAAAACAGATAGATACTTAATTATTTTAATATTAAAAATATTTAGTACAAAAAGTTTTTTTTATAAATGACTTTCATTATTTTAAAACATATTATTTCTCTAGAAATTTCTCATCAAATTTTCTCTAACTTCTCTTTACAATATTTTTTCTGTATGTTTATCTGTTTGAAGATTTGAGATAGTTGGAGAGATCCTCCTAACTAGCTATTCAAGTTGGACCGATCAGTTTCTCTCATAACAAAAGTTAGTTTTCTACCCTTTTCGCTTGGTCCAATATGTTTTTGTGTTGCATGTTGTCATTCTTTTGGTTGCATATATTGTTTAAGTCATCAATATGAGTTTTTACTAATAAGTGATATCCTGATCATTTTTGTGATGTTTCTATGTGAAGATAGAGCATCATGTAGAGCTAGAGAGCGTTTTGGTATTTTTAGAGTTGTTTGGGTTGGGTCACACAATATTCCTAAATTATATAAATGTTGAAGTTACTAATTGTATGATTGTATTGTGATTTTCGTTATTGAATGAGTTGTGTGATGAGTTTTATCGGTTCATGAGGGGTTATGGTCCTAAATTGCATAATCTGAGTTGTATGATGAAATTTGAAAATATTGTCTTGATGTCATTGGAATTGTGATTTTAGTTAATGTATGTTGTATAATTCGAAATGGTTGTCTTTATCTTGGTATGTGTTGTTGGACTAAAGTGGTATTGGTGGAATAACATATATTTATAGAATTATGTTATGAAATTTATGTAGACTCGTTAGACAAGAGGTTGCGTCACTGGGTGATGACAAGGTCATAGAGTCATTGATTGTGTAGTCTTTGGACAAGGATATACTCATTGAGTGAGTCTAGAGTAAGAGAGTTTATTGACTCGGTTGTCGCTAGGTGTGTCAACTCTTCTTTGGATGATTTACTCAATTGTGTAGTCTTTGGGCAAGGATATACTCATTGATGAGAAGTCTTGCCGCTAGGAGAGTGGACCTCCAAGCACTACTCACTAAGTGAGTGATACCCTCGTTAAGCGAGACTAGCAGAGTTTCCACCATGTCTATGTTCACTTTGTTTGAATGTTTTATTGGATCCTATAAGTTGTTGCAAGGATTATTTGTGTATGTGATTTGTATGATGATGGTTGGTACTAATTCAAGGAGGATTAATATTTAGTTTAATTAATGTACGCATTAAAGTGGAAGTTCCAGATGTTAATGTTATCTTGTAACTCTAATAACCATTCAAGCTAGTGAAGTAAAATAAAGTATATGGTAAAAGATACAAGAGGTTCTAATCTAGGTTATTAAATTTATCATAACTCAAAACATAATTAAACCCTATTAGATTAATATATTTTTTATGCATGATTTATACTGATAGAATTTTAATTGTATGATAAATTTTAAAAATATTTTTTTAAAACAAAGTTAGTAAATAACGTAATACTTTATGTAAATCGTCGTACAATAGTTTAAAGAGTTTGACAACATAAGGCAAAGAAAACACAGCTTGTATTATTTTATAATTAGA